CCATTCTAAGAAAATTATGATTACTAACAAATCGAAGAGGAATTGCAGGGCAAGGGGCAAATAACCATTACTATTTTCTTGATCGTTCATGTAGGTAGGAATATGTTTCTGTGAACCATTGTATTAATTACAGAAAATTTCTGAATTTTGTAAAGTATTTATCTGGAAATAATGCCTATGAAAATTTTAGTGCAAAATTATAACTTTTAAAAGAAATGTGGTTTGTCATTATATTGTTGCAAGCACATCCATTGAATTTCGAACTTGGTTTATTCCCTTAAATATTGCTCTTAGTAAATATTTATAAAAATTTTTAATTGCGCATTTTTATGCTTTATTTATTAGAAAATTATATATTTAGCTATAATCGTAATTAGATTAATATTAACTTTAAATAGGTCAAAATTCGTAAATTTTTTATTAGTAGTTTGTAATGAGATGCTTGATTATCTAATAACTTATAACTAGATATAAAAATAAATTCAATTGTTCATATTTCGTCAGTGAAAAATGTCAGTTTTACAATCTTTGTTTATATTTACAAGAAACGAGTACGCTTTAAATATTCCAAATCTATTTTTAAACAATTGGAAAGGGAAAAAATATTGGCTGACCCTTTTTCGTTTGGGTGGCAGATAAAAAAGCGTTCTTTAAGAACAAAAAACACCGTTTGCTGACTTTTACTAATCTGACGAATAAACAGTAGTTTCTGGTTTTTGCCAAAAGGTCAAGTAAACTATTTGGCTTGCTCTCTCGAAAACATCTTATGTCCATTGGTGTGTCAAAATAACTTTCCTTTTTTATGTTTCGTAATGGGTTCATAAAACAGTTTAAAGTAGGTAACCTGCCAGGGCAAGGATTAATATCTGGATATTCAGATGCCAAACGGAATGTGAATGGAGTTTGTCAGTTTTGACCTTGAAAATGAATGAGTGAACGTCTGCCAAAATGATGGTATAACCTGATCCTCTTTGAATGCGATGCCAAATTGGTGAGACATTTCTTGGATCACTTTTATATGAAAACAGCGAAATATTGTCTTTGACGGAAGGGAAAAAAAAGATGATTGATGGCAAAAATGTAAATATAGTCATTCAAGCACAATAGCCTTTTTTTTGAAATTCTCATATGACAGCATTTAAAGCATAAGTTTTCATTTAAAATGATTCATTAGATTTTATCAGTGACTTTTTATACATATATATCACGTAAAATTTAAAAAAAAAAACTAGTCAAAATTAATAAAATCAACAGTAACACTGCTTAAGACAAACAAAAGAGCAGCATTCGGTTTGTTTTACGCGTGATTATTTTAATTAAATCAAAAGAGACGTTTTTTATTCAAATAATTATAAATAACAATGTATCAGTGTAATTCTTAATTATTTCAACCTCTACCCAAACTTTTAAGATAGATTAAGACTCAAAAATTCCAAAATATTATGAGCAGTAGTTTTACACAGTTATATGCAAATGAACTTTAATTGCTTGCAACAATGAAAGTTTATTTTCATTTCGCTGTGATACTGAAACCTATTAAATTTAGAGAAAATAATCTGCAGTTGCATTACATGGGAGGAAAAATCATGAAAAATTCCTCTGCTTAACTCGACAGCATTAAGGCCAAAAGCAATGAGCCCTGTTATATCACTTGGTGCTGCACTCGAACGAACTCTAAAATCTAAACAAACACTGAACTCGAGCACATCTGCATAATATCTTAATAATTATACACTAAAGACAAGAGTAACAAAAAATAGCGACTTAAATTGTTAAGAATTACAATTATGTAACAATTTGTGGATGGACTTTTAGAAGAAAGGAAGCTCACAAAGTTTTTGACTGCAGTGTAAAACTTTTCAGACATTTGAACCTAAATACAAATATGTGAATGTTTTAACGTATGTAACGAAATGTCAATGAAGTAAAAATCCATTGTAATGGGAAATAATGTTGATTTTTATTCATCATTGACTGAATAAGGCCCTCTGTAAATCTTGACATGGTACTTTGCTAACACGACAATCAAAAATGGCCCGAAACTAATCCAGAAATAATGCCACTAAAATTATATTCATTCAAGTTTTGGATACTGCTGACTATCCGATTATTATTGTCAAACTTTCATAATAGCTTAAATAATATTAAATTAGACATTGAAGTTTCAAGTCGAAATAAGAAATATAAAGATGAATCCAAAACCAGAGAAGTAGAGGAATGAAACCAGTGAATGAAGCGAAACTTCGTGCGTTGATCAAACTTTGTTTTTTGAGGAAAATATCATTTTAGTTTGGAAATGACTTAATAAGTGTAGTAAAATATTCATTCCTTTTAATGCAAACATTTTCTTGGTGGTTTGCTCAGTTTAAGCTGGACAGTACAGACATTACGTATGATTCGTTCAAAGGTAGTAAGTACACCGGGAAATTAAAAAAAAATAATACTCACAATTTTATTTAACTTAGACAAAGAAAAATTGCAAGATATATCTTTCACATTAAGCTAAACATATCCAAAAGGCAGTATATACAATATTTTGCATGATGATTCATTTAGTTACGGAAGAGCTGTTTTCCAAATAGGAGCTGCAATTGATGACACTGTGAAACTCAGTGAAAAAAATACAACAACAGATGTTAATTATTTAGAGTAATGTTTGAAGCTATAAATAGAAACTTCTATGTTTGTATATGATAATGGGTGAAACAAAGATCTGTCACTGTTCTCAAGAATAAAACCAGCTGTCAGTTGAATGGAAAACAAAGTGAGGGAGCTGTTCAAAGCGATTAAAATTGGTGGCCAGGAAAACTATATATATATTAAGCGTTTTATGGGATGCTAATGGGATAATTTTATCAATTACTTAGATAAGCGGAAAAAACATTCTTAAAAAATATGACAAAGCTTTATTAGGGTGTTTTGACAATAAAGTCAATAGAAAAGGACAGAGTATGGCAAAAGAGTAAGTGATTTTTCTTCATGAAACATCTACAAAACGCGGTCCCTAGCTTATCGTTACAATGGAAAAACTGTACCTATCTCCATTGCTCCATTCGTGCAATCCTCTATGTCATGTTCTTTAGATTTGATCCCCCTCCCCCCCAAAAAAATCTTATTACCTGTTCTCTAGTCTTGAAGGGAAAAGAATTTTGGTTACCTAGGAAAAGAGAGCTGACAAAAATGAGGTCGTAGCGAAATTGAAGCGTTTTTTGGTTTTAATATTTAGATCTGTAGGAAATACTTCGATATTATAAAGGAACAATGGAATAAATATATCACTCTTAAAAGAGACTCTGGTAATGAATGGAAGTTAAACTGACACAAAAAATTTGCCAGTCTCAGGATTTTTCTCCATGTGATATTTTATGTTGATAGCTAAATATTGACTCTAATTATGCTATTTGAAAATTATTCTAATATTATATGCTATGCTGTATTTATTTTTGTAAACAGTATATAATACTATAGCAATATCATTTATTATTAGCGTTATTATAGTATACTGTAGCATAATATAGTGCTTAAAGTGCATACATTAACTAGCTTTTATAGTATTTCAAAAAAAATTTTTTTTGGAATGATTAATGTTTTAATTGCTCCATATCACTTTCTTTTTTTTGGTAAGCCTTAATCTGTGTCGCAAAATGTTAGAAAAAAATAAATACTACATGTTTGAAAAATCTTCTCCTAGGAAAGCCACTAAATACTTGCATAACAAGTAAATTTTTTTAGGAAATGTGACTTAAATATTAAATGAAGCAAGCATTATTCATTTCGTCAAAGGCGTTCCCTTATGCTTGAAGAGTATAATTAAATCATGTCATTTGCAAGCTTAATTTCTAAGTTGCCCATCTATCTTTTAATCAAATTTCACAGCTGTTCTTAATAACATATTTCCAAAATAATACCTTTGAATGATGGTCACGCTATAAAATTACCTAACAATAATAAATGTTGGAAGTATGCGACTAAGAGGCTCAAATAATGTAGCGATATAGTCAAATAATAGAGCGTTCTTTTAAAAACTGTCTATCTTTAACGAATCAATATTTAGTTTCAACTATCGTGACATTTCACTCAACAATTGTAAAGCTAGGGGAAATTTAGTGATAAGATTTATTTTAAATTTACACAATATTTTAATCCATGTTTTTAAATTTGCAGAAAATTTGCACCATGATACACAACACAATTATAAAATTTTTTAGTAAAAAACAACTCGATTTTCATGTAGAAAATAAGACGAGTCTGTACATTGAAAGGAAATTAGACTAAAGTACCTATCTGGAAACAATACTATAGAGAATTTTGAGGAGAAAATGTTTCTTTCAAAAAAAGTATTTCGTACTATATTAAACCTAGTATCTAAGTTAAATATGTGTGTTTTTCCTCCATCTTGTTCCTCCATTAATACACAAATCTGCTTCCTAAATAACGTTTTGTATGATAATTTTAATTGTATGAATATAGCTGGAAAATTACTAAAAAACTATAGGCAATTTTTTCATTTGAATATAATGTAGCATTCCTAAAATCTATAAATGTTATACAAGGTGTTAGTTGCAAGAAAAGAAATATAAATGTAAAAAAAAAAAAAAAAAAAAAAAAAAAAAANAAAAAAAAAAAAAAAAAAAAAAAAAAAAAAAAAAAAAAAAAAAAAAAAAAAAAAAAAAAAACAGGAAAAACAGGGAATTTGTTTCTAAATAAATTAACTTTTATTATAGAAGGGAAACGAGAAATTTTAAACAATTTTGAAGGATGATATTGTTGTGTTTTAGGTTAATTTGCACTTTAGCATTTATTTCCTTACGCAACACGTCATGAATTTAAAAAAATTTAACTCAGGTTGTTTTTTATTCTCTTGCAATATTATGTATTCCTGAACGTTTTCTTCATTGTATTCTTAAGAAATGAATAATAATATGAACATATTTAGAAATTTTATTAGTATTTATTTTTTCACAAAACATGTAAGATTAAAAATTAAATTATATTTTTAGGTTTATTCGTAAATTTGGTTCTCCAAAGCTACGAAGACGGGTTCCGGTACACTGGAGTCGATAACAGTTAAAGAAGTTGGCGCAATTGGGCCGTTAAGTAGTTCTACAGCCACCTGGAGGTGGAGGTATATGCGTCAGGCTCAAGGTGGTGGTCTTTGTTTAAGACTTTTAATATTATTAACCTCTATGAGGTTTCAAAACATTTGTTTGTACAGGACACGGTGACACATCTTCTTTTAAAATAATAAACTCCAAGATGGTAGTTGTCAAAAGGGATTCTATGAAGAAGACTTCTGATTTAACAATGCCAGTACCTCCTGATGGCGGATGGGGCTGGGTTGTAGTATTTGCTTCCTTCATGATTCATGTAATTGCTGATGGTGTCACTTATACCTTTGGAATTTTCTACGTAGAATTTTTGAAATACTATGGCAGCAGCAAAGGCACAACAGCGTGGGTCGCTTCCATTATGGTGGGCACAACTTATTGCATTGGTAAGTTTAACCAAACTATTTTATTTGTCTTGTCTGAGAAAAGCATAAACTAATCTTCTCATCTTGCTATGTCTATGATAATAAGATTTCTATCGTAATCTAAGCCTATTTTTATTTTCCAAACAAAAGTTAAAATTCTATGCATTCTATAAATGGCACAGAAGTAAGAAATTCGCAATCACAATCTAGATTCGATTGCGATTCAAACGAAAACGCCAGGTAACGAAAGAAAACACAAGGGTTCGATGTCAAGAACCCTACCCTATTCCTCGATTTGTAGCTCATTTGTATGTGAATGTATTGTTTAGTTTTTGTCAAAATACTTTTCAAATTTGGCTTGTCAGAAATAAACTCTGAACACACTATATTGAATATACACCGAAGAGCTATTACATTATGACCACCCTTCATCTATAACAATGGACTCGCCCAGGTTTTCATGGTTTCTCACCCAGGAACAATGTTTTCATGGGGCATATTGGGACCAATAATCCTCATAGAACAATCCTTGACGTCTGTAAGCTACTTGAACATAGTTCACCCATTCATGGCAACAATTTTTCCTGAGGGGGATGGTGTTTACTAACAGGATAATGCGCCATGTCATAAGGGTCGAATCGTCATGGATTGGTTTGAGGAACATTCCAGTGGCTTTCAAGTCATGTCTTGGCCCCCAAATTCACCGGATCTTAATCCAATAGAGCATTTGTGGTCCTACTTGGAAAACCAAATTCTTGCTAACACGCTACCTCCTCGCAATGTGAGGGAATCGCAGGACCAGTTGGTGAGCGCTTGGTACCAGATACCTCAGACTACCTACCAGCACCTTGTGGAATCAATGCCACGGCGGGTGCTAGCAGTTTTGAGGGCTAAAGGTGGTCCTACATGTTATTAGCATGGTGGTCATAATGTAATGGTTTTTCGGTGTATATATATATGATGACACACTATATGAGAATTAAAAAATTTTTGATTAATAATCATTAACTGACCAAGTCATTTATAAAAGTGAAATCCTTATATATTCTAGTATAAAGTAAGTTTAAAGTAAGTTTATAAAAGCAAATCTTTATATATTTATATTATTACATACATATTTGCTCTTTACACGGAGGCAAAAAATTCTGCTAAAATTATCGTACTGTATGATAATGATATTTCTGGTCTAAAAAAACTGTAATTGTGGTAACCAAAATGTAAGGTATTTAATGCATTCGTTTCGTAAATTTTGCCTTCATATGGAAAGGGTTCGTAGAAAACTCTGGTTTGCAAAATTTATAGTTCTTATTACCATACATTTAGTAAAAAATACATAACTTAAAAGTAAATTTGAGCAAGTAAATGGTTTTTATGCCATGCTCTAAGATATGATTAAATTATAAAATTTTACCTCATTTATTAAATTTTGCAACGTATTTTCAACATATATCAGAAATTATTACAAACCCTATTTTATTGCTAATTTTACCAAAATCAATGCGCTGCGGTAAAAAATTACCAAACTTTTTGGTGCTAACATAAAGCCAAAAACACAGTAAAACACAGTAAGTAAATTTTACCATATTCTGATAGTTTTGACTATAGTTTTTTTTTCTCAGTGTATATGTAGCGTTTTGAATATAATTTTTATATTTCTTTAAATAAAACTTAGTTAATACGTATTTGTTACATTTAAGAAATTTTTAACATAGAGAACTAAATTTTAATGTCGAATAGTTCAATTTAAAGCCTTTTTCTTAGACCTTTACAAATATAATTATTCGTAACAAATTTCAATTAAAATAGGTTAAAATTGGTATATTGAAGCCGTTTACGGAACATTTGTTAATTACCTCATTGCTGGCTTCTTGTAAAAATAATCATCTGGTAAAGCTCTATCTTTAAGTCGAATAACACTGTTTTGGAAAATAATTGATTTTGGAAGCATAATGAGGTTCAGAAGAATTTAAATCCAATGCTAATTAGTCCAAAATATAAGTTAATGTTTAGAAAACAGGTTTGACTAATTTATATCATTCTCTGTCTGTAAAAGACAAATTAACTCCTTTCATAATTATGAAAATTATGCTTATTTTGCGCATTTGCTGTCTGTATACTAACTGCAAACTTTTATTAGTTTAACCTTGAAATAATTCCATTACATAAATAAACAGTGGGTAAGGATTCCGCTGCTTTGTAGTATAAATATTTTTTCTGTGTAGGTTGCTTGAAAAAACATGTTTTTGCAAATATCCTTGACAAATTCAGAAGTTACTGTCAAGAATTTTATTTTCTTGCTATTTTTACTTCGAACTTTTTTAATGGCTTATTTCCATGTTCAAAAAGCCGTTGAAATGCATTTTCTGATACTAAATGAATGCGAGATAATAAACTTATTTTATTTGAATTTTAAAACCTCAAATACTATAATGATAGAATGATTTAGATGAGAATCTAAATTAGCGAAAAACATGCTTTTAATTTCTAATTGCTTTTATAATGAGTCCGTTCCGTTAATGTATCATACATACGGGAGTTGGACAAAATAATGGAAAAATTTTACTATACTAACACATGAAACTATACAAACACATTTTTTAATCGTTCTCAGGAAACATTTAGGGAATCATTTTATAAATTTAGAAGTGCTTAGGTTATGCGATTTCTCATACTTCTCAATAAATTTTTTAGAGATTTGAGGGACCGATAATAAATTATTAACAGAAAATAATGTTTCTGAATACCCTATACCAAAAAGTGTAACAATACATTTGTAACTTGCAACAATTATTTTGGTTATTATATGCGACAATTGCTCTAAATTTCGTAAACCTAGCTTAGATATTTATGGAGATACACTTATATAAAATAAAACTAATTTTTTGTCTTACGTTTTTTGCTATAACTTTAAAAATATTCCACAAAATTAAACAAACTTTTTGGAGTAATTTAAAAATTAATTACAAAATTATTGCTTTAAAATTTTTGAAAAAGTTGTTTAAAACTGTGCGAGATAGCTAAAAATTTAAGTATTATTAAAGTAGTAAATTAAAGAGTAATTAAAGTAGTTCCCTTATACTGCGCATGCGGGGGGAAAAATTGAATTTTTTTTCCTTAATTTTGTAGTATATCGTAGTTGCCAATGAATAAAAAAAATTCCGATTTGAATACCTTAAAAATTTATAAAGTTGTAAGCAATTTTCTAAGCAGCTTTCGTACTTTTTAAAAGAAAGTTCAAAATGATAAGGGTTTTCCACAAATTTAAAATATTCTATTAAACTAGATTTATTGAAAATGACACAGGTATTGTTGATGACCATCTCCCATAACAGCATATTTTCTTTCCTTATACAATCATATTTCGGCTTATCAGCGTTTACTGTAAGGTATTACCATTTGTTATTTAATTTTGTCTTATGATACAAAATAATATTTGCAGGAAACCCCTTTTAAATTTTGAGTTTATTTTAAAAAGTACGAAAATTAATCAGAAAATTGATTGAAACTTTTTAAATTTTTAACATACCCAATTCGTACTCTTTTCATTAGTTTGCTATATACGATTCACTACAAAACTATGAGGGAAAAAAAAGTTATATTTTTCCACGCATGAGCAGTATAAAAAAACTACTTTTATTACCTATATATTGCACAATTTAGAACAACCTTTTCCGCAAATAATTTTCTTTAAAAATTTTCTTCAATTTTATTGAATATTTTAAAATTTATTTCGCACATAATACCCAAAATAATTGCTACAAGTTTCAAAGTTATTGCTATATTTCTTACATATATATTTCTAACATTTTAACATATCAAAAACAACATATTTTGTTTGTAATTTATTGTCGGTCCCTTAAACCTCTAAAAGCTTTAAACTTCATTGAGAAGTATGAGAAATTGCATAATCTAAGCACTTCTGAAGTTTTAAAATGATTTAGTTTTTTCTTGAGAAATATGAAAAAAAGTATCAATATAGAAGTGTTTCCATTAGTTTACCCACCCTCAGTACATTAACGAGTTAGTTATTTTATTTTAACCTTTATTCAGAAGTTTCAGATGCTATTTAAAATCCATTGAGATTTTATTATTTTTTCAAATAGTAAAATGATGTGAAGTTCAATTTTGTAAGGAAGATTCGCATAAAGAAAGACAGTTTGAAAAAAGTAATACTATTTAAATAGTAATTTAAAATTTAAATTAACATGATATGTTTGTTCGAATTTTAAATTACTGCTATTATTTCTTTTAACATAACTGTATCAGTAAATGAAATTAAAAGTCATTAATTCTGTCGAAATAACATTACACATTCAGTAAGACATCAAATTTTGATTTATCCTCATTTATATCTGATAATAAAAAAAGTGATTAATGTTTAAATTCACAGGTCCTATAGCCAGTGGTCTGACAAATAAATATGGCTGCCGTGCAGTCACAATAGCTGGTGCGATTCTTGCGTCAGCAGGGCTCATGTTGAGCACAATATCGCCAAATGTACAATTTCTATTCTTTTCCATTGGACTCTGCACAGGTTAGTTCACTATCACCCAATATTATTGATCTTTAAATGTTTGCATTTTAACCACTTTATTTTTGCATTTGAAAGCATATTGTAAATTATATCAATTTTTCAACGTGTTGATGAATTTTAAGTTGCTACATGATGAAATCAGTAAATAATAAATCATATGAGTTTTAAAATGAAATCAGTCTACTCTTTGACGATTCTGCAAGTGGAAAGTACCATTTCAACCTGTATTCTTGTACGAAATCTCTTTTGTCACGTTATTAATAGCGAAATGGTGTATAGAGGGGAAATATTCTACTCAATTACCATAAGATTCGATTCATCCGAATATTATCTGATTAAACATGTTTCTAGCAAAAGGGAAAAGTTGAAATCCTAAAAAAATGCTGGGTGTGGAAAGGATTGGGAAGACTTCTATCTGCTATGGTCTTTTTATGTATGATTACGTTAAATATTTTCGAATAGCGCAATTGTTATTTATTTTTAAAGATTTGAAGTTGGATTAAAAAATATATACATTGACCTTTCAATTCAATCTATTATACATTGCTTGTTGAAGCACTAATTATCGAATTGTTATACTGCTATGCGTCTCAAGGAACAATAGTCATTTACTAAAGCAATGGGAACTTACCAAAATATTCCATATAGTTGATATGAAATGGTGTATGGATTTGCTCTACCAAAGCTTATAGCCTCGAGCTTATACGTAAATATACGATATTTTTACCAAAAAATCAATGTATTTATTCCAAGAAAAACTTATTTTCTAATTATCACTTACTGGTTAACACTCTTTGCTACATTTGAATAAGGTTGACTAATATAATATTTCCAGTTACTGATATTTCGGATCTGTTACAGAATCGTTACAATAGATTCGGTTTTTCATTTGATTGTGTAGTTAAAAGCATAGTTTCTCAACTTTTAATGGGGCTGAACTTTTATAAATGTATGCAAATCTTATTAAAAGGAGATTCTATTAACTTTGTTAGCGTTTTAAGTGATTCCTAAACACCTCTAGTTTCAGCTGTTATTAGTTACAACAACCCAGTACAGCTCAGTCTGTAAAAAGCATTGGTAGACAAAGCGTTACATTTCCTATGAGAAATGTATTTGTTTCTAACTTATGTTTTAATTTGAGAGAACTAGTTAAAATGAAGAACAAATAATTTATAAAGCATTCATGATCTATAAAGCTGCCATATTGAAATAAATACTTATTGTATACTTAATAAATACTTAGTTACTGTCTTGTATTAGCCAGAACATCCAACTTTTAAAGAACTGTTATGAATCCATCTTTGCCTATGAAACATTGGATAAACTGTACAGTAACCATTCAAATAAAACAAATTTGTGCAACAAGTATTTTGACACTGCTTACTTAAGTGTTTTAGAAACTTTTCGAAATCAAATCGTCTTCAACTTCTCAGATCGATCCTTAAGACTTACTTATGATCAATAGGAATTCGATACCTGAATAAACGGAAAAAAAGTGTACCAAATAATTAAATTTACGAAGTTATATTTTTGAATAGGTATTAATGACGGAATAAAAAAAAAGAATTATTAGTAAGATGATAGGTGACAAGATGTTCAATTTTTTTTGTTGATTATATTTCCAAGATTGGATTGATTGCGTGTTTTATTAATAAAATGATAACTTGATTTGATGTACTGAAATCAAACTATTGCTTATCATTTATAATAAGAACTATTTTTATAACTTAATATTAACAATCAGATACGATTTTTAATCATGGTCAAAAATTTGCAACGAACTTTCTATAACATTCAATTTTCTACGGAGCACACAGCAATAAATTATGATTCTTCTTTAAAATGAAGTGTACTTTAACCAGTGTAATATATTTAGTAACTGCTTCTGTCAATAACAAGTTGTATTATTTTTTGCTTTTCATGCTTAATATATTTTAAACAACTGTTTTACTCATTTATATTTGACATTACTTGACAAGACTCAGTCTTTTAGACTTAAAGTTTAAACATGTTTATGACTCATTTAGATCATTTCAAATCTCCATAATTGCTTGAAATTTTAAACCTTGTAAAATTAAAATGCTTTGAAATTGAAAATTAGTTTCAATATTTCATTTACATTTAACCTCTTCAGGGATGATGATTGTTATTTTTTCTTTGTCATTTTTGACACTAAATTTTAAAGTAAAGATAAATAAACTTATAATCACAGTAATATTTTCATGCTGTGATTTTATTATTAAGTTTAATTTATTCTTCACCTTTAAGAGGTTAAATGATTGTAATGGTATCAAACTTCCATAGTTTCTTTGGTTTTTATATTTTCAGGATCAGGCTTTGGTCTTATGTATCTTCCTTCAATAGTTAGTGTTACCTGTTATTTTGAAAAACAACGTGCCTTTGCTACAGGAATAGCAGTTTGTGGTTCCGGAATGGGTACTTTTGCCCTTGCTCCTCTGACAGAAATTCTTGTCGAAAACTATGGTTGGAAAGGAGCAATGATGATTATTGCTGCCTTAGTTCTCAACTGCACAGTTTTTGGAGCTTTATTTCGCCCACTCGAGGCAGCTTCAAGTCCTCAGAGTAAGCAAGTCCCTCGAATAAAGAAACCCAATTTGCCGAAGCTTAAGATTAACGGTTCTTTGAGTAATGGGAAGTTACCGACCACAACGGAAGATGGCAATAGCCCTTCGACACCTTTGATGTTTCAAGCAAATGGTCACGTTGTATCAGAGTTGGTAACAAAGAAAAATCCAGATGACACTTTGTCAGCTGATTCTAGACTCACCAATGGTTTTGCAAAGAATGGTGATATTTCTCCCAAAGTTCAATTACCACCTGGTTACAGTACAAATCCTTCAACCCCTTCAGAGGTCATGGCCAACGGGTTTTCTAAGGATATTGTTTTGCGATCAAATGGACATGGTCCAGAGAAAAAAAATGATCGCAATAGTTTGATGTTGCCAGGGGATTTTTTGCGTAGAAAGGTGGAAGGTACTGCTTTGTCTAGCTTTGTTTGTTCATCAGCTTCTTTGGCTCAAACCAACAAGGAGTTGTCTCAGCTTGAGTATGCCTGCCCGCAATCTCGCAGTGGTGGACTTTTGTGTCGTAAAGATATCTTCTACAGCGGAAGTATGATTAGCCTTGCTAAGTACCAATCTAATCCTAATATTTCCTACTCTGCTGTGCACCCAATTGATGCTGAGGATGAGTTTGACCACAAGAAAAGATTCAAGTGTTGTCCGAAAGAGATTCGAGATGCATTAGCTGAGATGACTGATTTTGCGATACTTAAGGATCCTATTTTTTTGATGTTTGCTGTTTCCAATTTTTTGACTAGTATTGGTTTTAATGTACCATATGTTTACACTAAAGATAGAGTGTCGGAAATGGGTATGGCATCGAATGAAGATGCAAGTTTCCTTTTAGCCATAATTGGCATTTCAAATACTGTAGGTAGAGTTACATTAGGATATTTGTCGGATAGATCTTGTGTAAATAGGCTCTGGATTTATAACACAAGTTTAATTATTTGTGGTTTAGCTACAGCCCTTAGCTGCTATGCTCTTAATTACACTTTGATGGCTTGTTATTGTGCAACATTTGGAGCCACTGCTGGTTAGTAATATTTACTTACTTCTACTAATGTAAATTTATACTTACGGTTTCTCTTTTGTGAGACATTGATAAACCACACTCTTATTTACATTACTTTAGCAGACCACATGTCAGTTTCTGAACAATTGTGTCAAGCATATTTTTAACAGATGCTAATTTCACTATCATTATTTGAATTTTTAAGTTTCAAGTATAAATCAATCAGTGGCGTAGCAGGATGATTTACTTTTGGAAAATTAACCTCTCAAAATTAGAGTATGCAGATTATCAAATTCATTAAATTTGCAATAACACCTCAAACTCGGCCTATGGATTTTTTTTTGGCTAAAAACTCACTTTTGGCAAAATCAAAAAAAGAAAGAAATTTTTTTTTCGTAGGCTATAAGCGCAAATGCTTTGCAAACGGTAAAAATATTTATTTAATTTGTAAATAGATATATAATGCCAAATTTAAAACTTTTTAAAATTTAGACTCTGTTTAAAAAAAAAAAAAGCTCCTGGCTACGCCCCTGAAAACAGTTACTGTAAATTATTCACGTTTCCTAAATATAAAAATATTCCATTTAATAATGTTACAAAATTAAAGATGTTAATAGAAAAGACCTGGTGACATTGAAAAAAATAGCAAAATTTAGAGTTTAAAATCAGGAAGTGGAAAACTTTTTGAATAATTTTTTTTCCTTATCCACATCACTAACTAATGACTGTTTTTAATTGGAAAATGTGTTTCATTAATAGCTTTCTACTGCTGTTATATTTTTAACAGCAAATTTTCATACATTTAGTAAAATTTCATTTTAAATACTTTTTTATTAAGCTTTCAAATTATCACGTTTTTAACGCACTTACAACAATATTTAACGTTTAAGCTAATCGCTCTAATTTATTTTGTAGGAAATAGAAAGGAAGTGATATGCATTTCTTCTAAATCAAACAAAAAAAGAGACGATTTATAATTTAAATTAAAAATGGAATTTTCCTGTATTAGTAGCAAAAGTGAATGGCTTTAATCCTTCCTTAACTTAAAATTAGATTATTCATAGCTTATTTACTTAAGTCAAAGCAACTTAAACTTAAAATTATCAGAGCTTTTTCAATATTTAAATCAAAATTTTATTGATCATTATAATTATTGGAAGAGTTTGAAATTTAATTCATGAATTTTTTTCAAAAGAAAATATTTTTTTCTATTTTTCATGATGCATAAAATTATGCCAAAAATTACAAATAAAAATATTTTCCAAATAGAATCATATTTAGACAAGATATTTTAATGGGGGCATTTAATATAATGATAATAATTTATTGCCAATTTAAACAAAACTTTATTTATTTTACTGTTTAAGTCTTTAAAATTTTAAAAATATCTGTTGAGAATTACTATTTTACCTGTTTTATCAATGGTTTAGAATTTCCAAAGAATAACATTTTTTTTCAAAATTTATAAAATTATCTCATACATTATCAATTATCAAATTAGTATAGTATTTCTTATGAAATTATTATGTATTTTTTATGTTATTTAGTTTCGAGTAATTTTTTTATGTTAATTAGTTTCGATTAATAATTAATGAAACAACAAGTTTTATAATGAGCGAATAGTGTATATAATAAAATAGTTGGATTAAAATTGTTATAGATTTCTCCCAAATGTACATAATTACATTACGGCATAGTATTTTTTGAGTTACCCTATTTCATAAATTATTTAAACTTTATATTAAACTATATTTTTAATAAGTTAGAATACTTTGAATTCAATGTAATATTTTTTAAGTCACCCCATTTTATAAATTATTTAAACATTATTTAAACATTATTCTTAATTATGGGTTTTTAATACATTAGACTATTTTGCATATAATATAATATTATTTATTCAACTTATTTTATAAATTACTTAAAATTTATACTTAACAAAGAATTTTCAACTAGTAGAGCTGATTTATGTCGGCTTTTTATGATATTCTAGCTTTTTTAGATAATTAACACGGTAGTATGGTTTAACATGTGAAGAATTTTGTTTGAACTGCTGCAATTTATTTACCGAAACAGTTTTATTGACTTTGTTAGTTTTATTAAATTCATTAATACTTTGAATAGTAATATCGGCTAAATTCCTCGAAACCTTAAAAAGTGTTTTAAATTCAATCATGTTTATTTAAGTTGAATTATAATATTGTATAACTTAATACAGAAAAGAATTCATTTGCTCTATATTGGGGTTCAAAATCTTTTTAGTTCACAACTTTATAATTGTAATGGAATCTGAATCATGTCATTTACAAAGATTCGTCAAATATTTACGATATTTGATGAATGGTTCAACGTCAATATTTTTAAAGGAAGGAAAAACGTTTTCGAACTTCCTTGAAACGTTATAATTCTCGTATGTTTATTTTGATATTTTAATTGAATTTTTCTAAAAAACTTTTTGAATTTATTTTTTGCTCACTTTCAACTATAATTAAAATGCTTCAGCAATTTTTAAAAACGAGTTTAAAGCACTTAGTGTTTTATTTTTCAAATTCAGTTAACTATTTTAGAATTTTTAAACCAAGTTTAAAACAATAAGTTAAATAAATATGTTTTTGAAATTATATTACTTTCAATTCTAAATTTTTGTTTGCGTTAAATACTCTTAAATTTTATAAATATATATTAACAATAAAATATGGTACAGACAACTTTTGCAGTTTTTATTAACTATTTTTACTGAATTTTAGGGGCCTATGTGAGCCTTACATCTGTAATTCTGGTTGATTTGCTGGGATTGGATAAGCTAACCAATGCGTTTGGGATACTTTTGGTATTTGAAGGAGTGTCATGTTTACTTGGTCCTCCTATAACAGGTAAATAGTTGTATTTTTACATAAAATATTAACACTAGTTTTCTTTTAAAAGTTTTCATAGGTTGCTTGCATTTTATTCGACGTTTAATAGGACCCTAAAAATGCACTTTCACAATAATACTTCGTTCTGCTGCATTTAACGCTGTTTTAATCTACTTTAAACAATATTTAAAAGGTTTTTTTAAGTATTTTAAAATATTTTATTCCATAATTTAGCATTTTTAAACTAAACACTATAAATATTAGTATTTATTTTTAAAAAAAAGTTTTCGGAGGTTGATTGTAATTTCTTCGACATTTAATACCCTAAAACTGCGCTTTCAAAATAATACTTCGTTCAGTTACATTTAACGTTGCTTTAATTTTCATCTGCTTTAATTTATCTGTTTTAATTTATTGTTGTTTTTGTAAGTATATAAAAATATTTTATTCCATAATTTAGCACTTTTAAACTAAATAATATAAATAGCACTAGTTTTTTTAAAAAAGTTTTCAGAAGTTGATTGCATTTTATTAGACATTTAATAGCCTAAAAATGCACTTTCAAAATAATACTTCGTTCTTCTACTTTTGAGAATATTTTAATCTACTTTAAACTGTGTCTTTTTTAAGTACATGAAAGTATTTTATTCCATAATTTAACCCATTCACCTTTAACATACCTTAAGTTTGTTTTTTATTAATTTAATGTTTTTGTTTCTTAAATCATTACGTAGAATGTGCATATTTTTTAATATTGCTTTATTAAAAAAAACTTTAAGTGGATTTTGAAAAAAAACTTTTATCATCATACGGTCAATTTAGTTTTTGGTGAAATGCTTGTGCACAGTTACAAATAGTTAAGCGTCTTCTGTTTAGTTTCTAACTTCACAATTATTGGCTCATGGATAGTTAAATTCGCACTTATACTTTAACATAATTTTGTTATACACAGAAAAAAATTCCAGATCAATTTGATCTGAAATTTATTTGATCTGGATCAATTGGATCAGGAGAAAAATTTTCCAATTTTTCTGGGAGTCGTATTTTGATTATCCTGATCAAATTACGGCACCCAGGGTGCCTATACTTTTTAATGTAAAATCCAAATTACTTGTTATGTTACACATGTTACGAAGTAAACAAAATCTGATGCATAGTCATTCTTACAGTAAAATCACTGAATCACTCTTATTAAATAAGTATCACTGTAAAAAATACGGTATAATATTTATCTGTAAAAATGGATTTTGCGGTGAAAAGATTTCACAGGTGCTACTTTCAGTGTGTGAATACTTTTTACCGCAATTTGGAACTATTTGCAATGTATTTGATTTAACTTATGAAGGAATATATCATGATGCTGTTCTCTATATGTTAATACATATATCCATTATACTCGAGCAAATTTCTTAACTCTAACCTTCATATAAAATGATCATTTATTTATTGAATAGGTTGGTTGTACGATGGTTTAGGCTCATATGATCCAGGCTTCGTTGTGTCAGGCTCAATGATTGCTGCTAGTGGTCTCATACTCTTCCTGGTGCCTTGCATTTCAAAACGTCCCAATCACCATCCAAGTAACCCCGAGGATCCCGTACCTAAAATTGCGGAAACTAGTACCTAACTGAACCGAGTGTTACTGATTTATGGACATGTAATCAGCATTCAACTGTAAACCTGAATTATTCTCTCTTTTATTTCGCAAATCATAGATTAAAATTATCAATTTACCTTTTGAATGATAAGCGACTTAATAACAATTTTTTATACATTACCATGCACTTTAAGTGCAAAGCAAAACATGAATGTTAGATGTCATTATCCTTATCGAAATTAAAATCAATAGCGTGTTTTTAATAAACTTAGCAATGCTTCATAATAAGAAATATGATAATAAAAGAACAATTTAAACGCTACACAAATTTATAAGTGTTTGTAAATTAACATAAGGAAGTAAATTAATGGAAATATTTTAGTGATCAAGTTACTGATAGCTAAAAATATGTTAATTTATGTAAATTAAATAAATATTTCTAAATTACATAAATATAAAAATTTAAATAGACGTTTGAATAAATTTTTATTTTATAAATAAAAACCTTATAATATTTTTTGACGCTTAATTCACTTTATTAATACGATATGTTTAAAATTTGATACAAAATAAAAATATGCATGTAAATTGAAAAAGAGAAAACAGTTACTTTATTTTGTTAAAAAGTTCAAAAAATGTATTATTTTTCATGAAATTGTTCTTAGTCTATAAGGGGAACCGGTAAGTAATGTCATTTCGGCGCATTAAATATTCGTTAGTCTTATAAATCGATTAATTTTTTTCGATTCATTTACTAACAAGGGTGAATACATTATTGATTAAAAATAAAATCTTGGTAACAAATTTCAAATGTACCGAAACGACATTACTTTCTGGTCCCCCTAATGTATCGCAATTGACAGCAATAATATAAAGTAATGGAAAAGTGACTGCAAAAAAATTGTCTGTAATTGTTCATGAATCAGTTTAGTTAATTTTTGTAATAGTGTTTTTGTTTTCAATTGTTTTTGTTAAAATTAAAAAGAATTATCATAATCAAATACAATGTAATTTTATATTTTCAAAGAGTTTTTCGCGTGAATGAAATAAAAATTTTTCTGTAAAATCAAACTGAAAATGATTGCTATACTTCCATGAAAAAACTGTGCCAAATATTTAAAAAAAAATCGAATCAACGAATGATGGAATTAAATAACAGAATTTTTCGCATTACAGTTGAATGCTTTTTAATAATATATAGAATTCGCATGACATTATTATCCATTTAGACCAATGTTCAAATCGTGATATTTTGTATACTGCGTATGTACTGAAGCATGCATGTCTGTGTGTTGTTTAGTTTTTATATTCATTTGTATCATTGTTAAGCTTTCTTCATTCTTGAAAGGTTATAATAAATCCAAACTAATCAATGAAAATCAATATATAATAATATAAAAAAACATGATCAAAATCTGACGTTATATTAAACTCAACCGCAGAAAAGGTAGAACTTAAATCATCAAAACTAGCATAATTGTGTTATACCATCTTTTCTGGGATTAAAATCTGAAATCATTTGTCATATTTAAAATTTTTTTTCTCGTTTTCGAATAGTTTTTTTTCTTCTTTTTTAAAATTGCCCAGATATTAGGGGTGGTCAATTAAGTTATTATTTACCGTCAGCCATTGTAATTATTGAGCGATGATAGCAGAATGACCATTTTATTTGCCGTCGCAATTATATCAGGATTGTGATGCTTATTTTTAAAATATAGTGTTAATAAAAGTATAAAATATGACTACAAGTTTATTAGTACATTCAAAACTTAACATTACAGATTTGAGATCTTAATGTTTATAAGGCTACAAATATGTCTGTGCTGATTATTGTCTTTCATGACTTATAGATCATCCATCGTAACAAGACAAGCATACTTCCATTTCGATCCTGATGTCATTAGTGCTGAAAAAGCGCCATTGTCGCAAAGCTTTCTTTCCCTTCCGTTTTCCGTATTCTTCCTCATAAGCTACAGAATACCCCTATTTCAACTATCCCTATTTCAACCAATATGGGTACTCGTAACTACCCCTGGGGTACTTGTAAATACCTACCCTATTCGTAAATAATTATCCCTAGGGGTATTTGAAATAGGGGTGCTCTTAACTACCTCTATTTCAACCAATGAATATGGGCAGTTAATAAATAGTCTTCTTACTCTGGACGAACTATACAAGAATGAAGAAAGAAACGTTATGATTCAGTATTAGCGTAAACACTATTATCATTTGTATAATTACATATATTTAATATTTTTTTCGTCAAAATTCATAACTATAACTAGCATCATAATCTTACATTATTATTTATTTATTCTAATCATTTTGAGTTATATTTCTGATGAAGTTATCATGACTCAAAAACTAGAATTAATGAGATATGTAATTGCTTTATATTTTATTTTTGAATTTTAACATTTATTTTAAGTGTATAAATAATTTAAGTGTATAAGTATTTAAGTATATAGTTAATATTCTAAGTATAAAGTATGCATGCATTTACTGTCAAGAGTTTATAGACTTTTTTCATATGTAAGTTCTGTTTGTAAAATGTGTTACATTAACAAACAAATCGAATGTAATTTTTTTAATCGGTAATAAGTTTTATCATTGATTCTGCTAAAATGATGAGTGAAGTTAAGTTAATGACATACACTAAATGTTTGGATATAATATTAAAATTATTATTTTGAATACGTTAACTTTTAAGCACTTTTTAAGCACTCTATCTGTTAAAAAGGATTTTTTTTTTAAATTTTATTGCTTTAAATTAACATTATTTTTTCATCTGTCTGTGTGATACTACAAACAGCACAAAATATTTTCTTCTGTGAAGAAATTATTGATATTTTTATTTATGTATGTTAAAAAACAAGAATTTTGATTAATTAAATGCATTTATGATAAAATATAATTGCTCTGGCTCATTTCTTATAATGTTTTTGAAAGTTTCATGTTTTAATTTGACTTTTGACTAATATTTTTTACGGACTTTCCGCATATGCTGTTGTTAGTTTAAGAGACATGAAATTTTGGTGACTCTTGATAGGATAGGTGACACTTATAAAGAATAGGGGAGTTTTTCTTTGTAAATCGGTGTCAAAGTGCAGAAAAAATAACTCTTAAAATAATGTTATTCGAGTTATTAAAAACTTGTCTCCAGCCAGTGTAAAATGGTTAAAATAATGTTGAACAATTTTTTTATAAAATGTGTTTAAGTTGTAAAATTTAAAAAAAAAAATCAAAGTTGTGTATCTACCACTACAAAAAATTCAATAAAATCACTAAATAAGACATGTTAACTCGATTCCATGTTGGAGTAACTTTTCATAGATGAATGTTGACATTGTCGATATGGCTTTCTCCACATTGGTGACCCGGAAGTGATGTGAACACGCCTACCTTGACAGAAACTCCCACTTCTGTTTGAACATGCCTACCAGGATAGATGGTTCACAATGAACAGTTGTCTTGCTACTTGTGACTGCGACATTATCCACCTCCTCGCGCTGTTGCTACTCAGTGTATATCACACACAATGTGGGCCTGTATTCACTCGACTGCTAATGCAACACAGGAGTGACCATGTCCGTGCACTTAATTCAGATTTCACAATCGGAATAATAGAACGGTGATCTTAATACAGCTCTTCCGACTTCTCACGAAAGAGCAATGAATCAACTAGCGGTATCCCGTTTATCGAATTCTGTCACAGATAACATTCTGATGGGGGAGTACTGTAGTGTATCTACCATTACAAAAATACAATTGAAAATCACTAGTAAATAAGACATGCTAACTCGATTCGAGATTGCAGTACCTTTTTATAGATGAATGTTGACATTGTCGATATGACTCTCTCTACAAAAGTAAAACTTGTATAAAAATGCATTGAAAAAGCAAATAAATAATCAATGACTCCGACACTTTCAACCCCTTTTCGTATCTTCCTTTAAATTTAAAACCCTTTTTCGTTAGAATGGTTAACATTTTAATAAAAAGAGAAAAAGTAAGGATAGTTTTCTTAAAACGTTGTTATTGATTATAAGTGTAATTTTATGCCAAACAAAGCAATTATTTTCAAAAAACAGCTCGAATATTGAAAGATTGCTACCCACATGCACAAAATATTATTTCAGCGACTTAAATTCTAGCAAAATTTGCGTGATGAATTTAGTATTGAATTGCTTGTAGATGCACGTATAATTTAATAATGAACAAAAAAAGTCTATGAAAAGAAAAGAAATAAAAAAAAAATCTTTTAATGAAGTATTGCATTTATGCATTAGTAAATACAAATTACATAAATAATTCAACGTTATGATATTTGGCAACGGGCAACATGCATTGATTTTAATCTATTTGAAATTGAAAATAGTTTGATGAAGAAAATTTAGAAAAGATTAAACTAAATCAAACTTATTGATAACGATATAATTAGTGAAGAAGGTTTGGAAATGACACCTCATGCGGTTTGGTGTTGGTGATACACTTGAGCATAGTGAAGGTTAAAAGTTTTCCATTACCGGAAAACAACATACAGTACACTCCCGATTATCCGTGCGCGGATTATCCGGTTTGCGGATTATCCGTGCTCATTCCAGAGTCACATAAAAAATATTTATTTAACGAGAAACATTTAAAAAAAAATTTTATTCATGAAGTTATAACACTAACAAATTTTTAGAAGCAATATTCGTTATTGGATTGCAGTATATGGAATATCAGCTGCATGGCCAAAGGTAAAATCATCGACGTTATTATGATCGTGGAGAAAATCATACAGCTTGATGAACAATCTTCTTTAGATATTCAAGAAGAATGTGATAACAGTATTTTTGAACAAGCAAAAGAAATCTAAGGTTTCGAAATTCTTGACGAAGAAAATTTAGAAGATTGGTTTCAAAGTGTGTGCCTGTCTTCCAGTATTTGACAGAAGATGACATCATTGCTAATTAAATAAAACAGTGATGATAGTAACTGATGCAGGAAATGTAGTAAATGAGTGAAATACAATTTCTCATTCTGCTGCTCTGTGGAAACTTAATTAGATTATATGGGAGAATTTGATTACGGTGACATTACTGTGTCAATATATGGCAAAGTCGCATTAAAATTTTTTTAAGCAGCAAATGTTAAAGGGAA